GGGGGGGGTGTGCATGATGAATTCATCCGGCCTGTGAATACTTAGCAGCGCAGGCATGTGAATACTTAGCCGTCAAGTATGCTCAGGCTAGCGAGTTTGAGTTCTTCAGTCTCCGAAATCTGATGTATATATTCGAAAGTAACCGTTTTTGGGCCCGGCGGCCAGTGCATCGGTTGATTCAGTGGGGGTGTCGGTGACTGCCAGTGAGGGTCCAATGAGCGGTGGTGCTTTGGGGTGGTTGCTTTCCCATGTAAAAACGGCGCCCCTGTGACGGGGATCACACTCAGCACCCGAGTGGGACGGCTGAGCGAAACACACTCTGACACTTGTATTCAGTGAACTCAGTTCCCACGCTGGGAAGGAAGGTGACAGAACTGCATGGTGAAAAGTCCGAAAGACTTGTAGGTGTTTCAACAAGTTGTTGGTCAAGTCTGCTGAACGATCGGTCGGCGCGGCTCAGCTGCAAGATAAACGCGGCAAAGGGGAGGTTTTGGGGAGGTATCATGGAACCACCATGACAGCAAACCAAAGGAAGAGTGGAGTCACAGCTTGATAGAACGGCAGGTACGCAGGGCTGATCGGGCCCTGCTTCCCACTCCCGCCCACAGCTTCGTTGCGTGTGGTAGGGCGGGAGTGCCACACGCCCCTGCCTGATTGGAGTGGTCGAAGGAAACCCTTTGTCCAGGGGTGGACACACACACACACATACACCTTCTTCTTGCTTCTTCCATGTTCTTCCCGTCTTGCGCACCGTATACCCCCCGGTGGATCTACGTTCCCCGGCTGATGTGCCACTCCTGAGACACACCGGCGTCCGTCGAGACATCGAGTCAGCGGCCGCGAAGCATTTGAGGGTTTTCTTTAGGGTCTCCAGGTCCCGAAAACGAAGCAAAAGAGCCAGCTGTTTTGTTTTCTTGTTTTTTTCTTTCTGCTTCGGAATACCAAAAGAAAGCGAAGACCCTCCAATAGATGGTAAACGTGGTATGATCCCCACGTAGAACATGGACACCGCCATCGTGGCGTCCCCCCCAAAAGCCCGGGAACCCTCCTTTCTGCGGTCCGCAGAACGAGTACCGCGGCCATCGGTGCCACGCACCGACCGCTGGGACCGATGGTGGGACCGACCCACCACACCGCACCGCACTGGAGCCCCCAGGAACCTGTGGCTTCTTGGAGAACTGTGGCGAAGCAGGAACGCAAAAAACCATAAAACACCTCTGACAGTGCTTGCTGGATGCAGTTCGGAACAGTTCGAGGAACGCAGAACACGTCGCACATGATCACCGAAGGTTCTCCGCAGGTTTCAGGTCTGTGAACATGGGCTCCGTTCCCTTTCGTTGGGCGAAGTGGTGTGGTCCGCACAGCGTGGGATCTGTTTTTTTTATTGGTGGATTCTAGAATCTAGAAGTTGGCTTCTCTCCGATCTTGGAACACGCAGGCTTGAAATGGTCTAAAGAAGGGTTCCATGGGCAGAAAGGAAAGGCGCAGGAGATGATTCTGAGATAATGCTTCAGGCTCCAACTACAGCAGGTGCGGATGGGTTTGGGATCCAACTTCCGATACTGGCGCTCAAAAACAAAGTTCCCATCACGAAACATGGCAGGCCAAGTGAGCACAGATCACAGGAAGAACCCGATTCTGAATTAATGGAATCGAGTGATCAGAGTTAAGTTCTTCCCTCACAGTCCGAACCTTAGAAGGGAATACCCAAAGTATCTGAGGAAAGGAATTAATTAATTCAGTGATGAAATTTCACTGAATTATTCTTGTCCATCCCTGAATACCCCAAAAGAATTTCCTTTGCTTCGATGGTGCCAAATAAGTATACACACCCCCGCAAGCACGCGATCTTCAAACGGACCACATGGACCCGCCTAAGCGATCTTCATCTGTAGCTGACACACTGTCATACCAAACCCGGTCTTGAAGGTCCATGTGGTGCAGGAGTGTAGTCTTGGGACTTCTATAGGTATCCTTCTAACATCCCAGGCTATCCTTTTTTGCGAAAACACCTCTGTGGATCATGTCCATGTCCAACGCAGTGAGCGATGTGACCCTCTCTTCTTGTCCCAAACATGACACCACCGGCCTGGGGATTGGTCGTCTATCCGCTGCCCGACCACATCGGTCCTCCTTTCCCAGCAAAGCCGACATGGAGAAGTATTGAGAATCTCAGTGCGTGCCAGGCGAGGCGTGAATTCTGTGAGGTGGAAGGGGAGGAACCACTAGTCTTTGGAAGACAAAGGGAACTCCCCCACAAAAAACCTTCAAGTTCCCCTCTGCTTGAGCAGAGGCTTTGTGGGTATCTGAATTCTCCAACTGCAAGCAGCTGAGGTCCAGGGGGCCACCTCATGGCACTGACGAAATACGTGTTGTTTTCTTTTTCGAAATGCGGTGTGACGAGGTGCCAATCCGGAAAGTTGAGTCCCAACTTGAGATGCTCCTTGTGTTCAGATTGTCACAATATCAACCCACCGAACGCAACCAATAGGCTTTGGCGGCTGACCTCTTCATTGCTACGGCCTCCCCCAAGATCGTGAGAACACTAAACTGTTAAACCCTGAACCAATTCCCAAACACCCCGCGCAAGGAACAAGACTCTGAGAATGGATTTGGACTTTTGACTGGCACCAGCACCGCGCAGGGCTGCAAAGTCTGCCTTCCTGAAACAAACGCGAATTCTACCTGGGTTCTTGCGCAACAGCGTTGCTTGAAGTCCGAGATCGTCTTGAAAGAGTTCCAAGCTCACCTGGCGCATGCCTGTGGTATCCCTCTCTTTCCGAGACTTCCCAAACCTAGTGACGATCTGGCATGTCACTCCAGCTTTGTGGCCTTTGCAGTGGAAAGCCAGTGACACAGCACAACACGGGCAGTTCCCTCCGAGAGACAATGACGGTCGATCTTGAAAGTGTCACAGACCCTTAATTCCTGAATGTCTGGTAAGATGCACTTCTGAAACAAAGACCTGCCAATGGCCCGTTGGGCAAGTCCGCAAACAACTGTAATGTTTGCTGCCATTGCCCGCCCTTCTCACAGGCACCGATGGCAGCACTGTAGCTGATCACGTCGGGCTGAACCTTCGCCTTGGGCATGGCCTCAAACAACTTCAATGCGTGCTGCCATTGCCCGCATTTCTCACAAGCACTGATGGCAGCATTGTAACTGATCACATTGGGCTGAAGTTTTGCATTGGCCATGGCCTCAAACAGGTTCAATGCTTGCTGCCATTGCCTGCCCTTCTCAGAGGCGCTCATGGTGGCATTGTAGCTGATCACGTTGGGCTGAACTTTTTCTGTAGGCATGGTCTCAAACAACTTCAATGCTTGCTGCCATTGCCCGCCCTTCTCACAGGAACTGACGGCAGCGTTGTAGCTGATCACGTTGAAATGAACCTTTGTTTTGGGCATGGACTTAAACAGGTTCAATGCTTGCTGCCATTTCAAGCCCTTCTCACAAGCACTGATGGCAGCACTGTAGCTGATCACGTTGGGCTCAACTTTCTTCTTGGGCATGGCCTCCAACAACTGCAGTGCCTGCTGCCATTGCCCACTCTTCTCACAGGCGCTGATGGCCGCACTGTAGCTGACCACGTCTGGCTGAACTTTGGCCTTGGGCATGGCCTCAAACATGTTCAATGCTTGTTGCCATTGCCCGCCCTTCTCACAAGCAGTGATGGCCGCACTGTAGCTGATCACGTTGGGCTGAACTTGTTCTGCAGACATGGTCCCAACCAACTTCAATGCTTGCTGCCATTGCCCGCCCTTCTCACAGGCACTGATGGCAGCATTGTAGCTGATCACGTTGGGCTGAATTTGCGCCTTGGGCATGAACTCAAAAAACTCCAATGCTTGCTGCCATTGCCCGCCCTTCTCACAGGCACTGGTGGCAGCATTGTAGCTGATAACGTTGGGCTGAACCTTCGCCTTGGGCATGGACTGAAACAACTCCAATGCTTGCTGCCATTGCCCGCCCTTCTCACAGGCACTGATGGCAGCACTGTAGCTGATCACCGTTGGCGCAACTTTTGCCTTCGGCATGGACTTAAACAGCTCCAATGCTTGCTGCCATTGCCCGCCCTTCTCACAGGCACTGATGGCAGCACTGTAGCTGATCACGTCGGGCTGAACATTTTCCTTGGGCATGGCCTCAAACATGTTCAATGCTTGTTGCCATTGCCCGCTCTTCTCACAGGCACTGATGGCCGCATTGTAGCTGATCTCGTTGGGCTGATCTTCCGCGTTGGACATGGCCTCAACCAACTTCAATGCTTGCTGCCATTGCCCGCCCTTCTCGCATGCACTGATGGCAGCATTGTAGCTGATCTTGTTGGGCTGAACATTTTCTGTAGGCATGGTCTCAAACAACTTCAATGCCTGCTGCCATTGCCTGCCCTTCGCGCAGGCACTGATGGCGGCATTGAAGCTGATCACGCTGGGCTGAATTTTCGCCTTGAGCATGGTCTCAAACAGGTTCAACGCTTGCTGCCATTGCCTGCCCTTCTCGCAGGCACTGATGGCAGCGTTGTAGCTGATCGCGTTTGGCTGAACTTTCACCTTAGGCATGGCCCTTAACAAATTCAATGCTTGCTGCCATTGCCCACCCTTCTCACAGGCACTGATGGCTGCACTGTGGCTGATCATGTCGGGCTGAACATTTTTCTTGGCCATGGCCTCAAACAACTCTACTGCTTGCTGCCACAGTTTTGCTCTGGCACAGGTAGATATTCCGATGGTGTAGTTTGACGCAATTAGTTCTATGCTACCATCTTCCCGGATTGCCTCCAAAGTAGCGTAGATGAGTTTCGCTGCTCCCTCTTGCTGGCAAAAGGCCCTCAAGAACGACCCAAGGAGTGCTTTTGAGCGTCGCACTTCTGGTAGCAAAGTCGTTTTTAGAGCATCTTCAACATTTCCTTTTTCTGGTCTAGGCACACATAAAGACCATAAACACGTGTTTATGTAGTATTGTTATGCCGTCCAATGATCATGACGGTCATGGCAGGGAAAGATTACCATACAAACTCATCCACTTCAACATCAGTATCTTTACATATAGTGATATTATGATATGGGTGGTTGCTCTGCCGATACTTTTCCTACAAGTAAGGGGTCATGTCCAAGAAAGAACAGGATTCACAACATCCAGGTTTCTTTCAGTCACTGCTTGGCACAGTATCTGTACCAATCCATCCGCTAGTTCAGCATCGCTTGACAGCTTTCTGCAGCCTTCGGACCTGGGTAGATCTCAAAAACTCCGACCCTTTCTAGTGGACAGGATTACTTTGTGTCTGGCATACTTGGCACCTACAGTAGATGTTCTGTTGGTTCCCTATTATAATTATGCATGTGCTTCTCCATGTAGTTTCTGCCAAATAGAACAAACATCTGCGAACCACGTGGTGCAAAACTCCTCGTATACTGCGGTAACAAACCCAATTGCTGCTAGGGCAAAAGACTAGATGAATGACATACCTGAATAACGCCTTCAAATACCGCTTTCTGGAGTCTTCATCACTTCTTACACAACCAGGAGATGTTCGAACTCTCGCGGTGTACGAATTTCCACCTCATTCCCACCTTGCTGATCTCTCTTCTCGAACTCGTCTCAAACTCCTTTGCAGGATCTGCTTGGACCGTTCTCGAAGGCGAAGCAGGCCCAGCAACACAAGGAGGCCAGCAAAAGGTGGTCCAGGCTGGAATGAATCCGTGGGTGAGTTGTTGCACTGAAGAGACAAACTTCTTCTCCTGAGATGTTTGATTCCGAAGACGGCTTTTTGCAAACCAATAAAGAAATTTGTCGTTTGGGGATGTAAATGCGTATCCTGCATCATGAGGTGTGTCTGGAGGGGAGGATGTGGTGGAAGAAAACCTGCAAAACAAAAGGAAAATGGCAGGTTCTGCATCAATTGATGTGGAGGTAGTGTGCTATATGATCTGGGACAGAGTATGAAATGCTATGCTTGCCGTGACAAATTTTCTACACTGCTGAAAGGAACTGGTCGCATGCCTTTCATGGACCGGGTGATTTAACTGATGCAATAATATACAGTATGGTGCTTCTCAGCTCCAGGTTAACATGCATATTGCAAAGTTTACTGCAGGAAGGCTATTGCACACTCCCTTTGAAATTGTGCATTTTCAGGGGGCCCAACTTATATCCAACAATGCCTGCAAATGTCTTATTGCCCAGTAGATATTTTTCATTCATCCACAGCATGGCGCTTGTCAAAATGCACGTTGCAAATAAATGTGTAACCACTCTATTTTCGACATGCTTGCAACATGACCCCTGCCTCAGGTAGGGCCCTGGGCCCCCCTCAATTAGTAAAAACAACTATTTGAAGGGGTGCACACCAGGTTTTGGGAAATTCATTGCAGAGCGTCCCTTACCTCAATTAGTTTTCTTCAAAATTTGCCTAGGCCCCCCCTACACCCCCCAAGTCACCGACACCTCACAAGCCCCTCAATGGATTTCCACTCGCAAGGTGGCACACCCCCCATCCACAGCTACGCCAACGTAATACGTAAGCAGCCTCAAAACCAGGCAGGAAAGTGGCCACGGCATGCACACCAAGCAGGAAAGCAGCCACCACACCCAAAACCAGGCAACCAAAATTATTTCAGGGGGGGTTGGCCTCTGGACGAGGGGTTGATTGATTGAGTATGCAGTATGCTAGCTTGAACCAAGGTACACTGGGAACATGGAATGTAGACCCTGAATATTCTGAAGCTCGCATCGGTGTCCTTAGTTACTTTGGTTCCTCTCTTTGTCTCTTTCTTTCTTTCTTTTTTTCTTTCTTTCTCTCTCTCCCCCATCCCGGCCCCCCGTGATAATTAATTGAGGGGTGTGCGACCTCTCCACCATCTCTTGATTATTTCTCAAGCACATATGGCCCTAGCTTGATCCAAAGTACACCGGGAGAATGCAGAATGCCAGTGAATTTCTTTTTTCCCGACTTAGGTGTTTACCAAAATTGTCGACAAATTGTCTGAGAACAAAAAACTAATTGAGAAACATTAATTCGTAGGTCACCCCCTTCCAATTATCTATTTAGTGGAGGAATCATCTTGCAACTGTACATTCTTGAGGGGTCCAGCTTGTATCAAACAATGCACATTTCTACACGCATTGTTGGATATAAGGTGGACCCCCTGAAGAATGTACTGTACAGTTTCACAAAAGAAATTGTTAAACGGTTAAACATCGTACAGTAAACATCTAAAACCCTGCTCATTCGGTTGGCATCTGGGGCGCTGGCTTGGACACGAAATACCATTCCTTTCCTTGCCCCCGTCTCTTGAAGCAAAGAGTGCGGGCGGTGGCCGTCGCAAAGCGAACTCGGAAAAACTTAAACGCAAAACCCTTCATACTTCATCATATTACCTAAACGTCCCACTTCGCACTCTCTGAGTTTCGTGCCACACCAAAAACTGAAAACATGACCATTGCCTGAAGCGCTCCTTACTTTCATGCAAACATTCCACGTCTTTCGACATCAGGCACAAAAATATACAAAAGCACATGGACCTATACTGAAACAAATCACAATCACATCAAATTAGCCTGCAGACCATTCATGGGACCGGAATAGTTACACTGTTACGTGCATTTAACTGAAGCGTAGCTCCCATGGATACTCTAGGAACACACCTCTACGTTTCCCCCAAAAAGGGAAGTCAAACCTATAGTGAAGAACCCACCAATCTCCCCAAAAAAGTGACCCGCAGGCGGCCCACGTACTTCCATCTACCGGGCCTCCTCCAAGGCTTCAAGTCGTCCTTGGCGAAGAAGCTGTTGCGACGCCCGCTCGGATGTTGGCAGCTTCGGCCAGGCTCCGTGGTGAAGGAATCCATGGTGAGGCGGTGCAGCAAAGCTGCGCTGAAGGAGGATCTTTCTCGGGCCAACGAAAGAAAGCGCAATGAACAATTAAAGCGAAGGGATGGCGCACTTGCATCACCAGCATCTGCTTACTTTTTGTTGGACTTGCACAGCGATGCTCAAGTTGAGAGCGTGTCAGGGAAGCAAGGACATGGGCTGGGTTCCTTCAAAAGACCGGAGGAAGTTCTGCTCAAGGGATGACGTGACGAAGTTTTGCTCGAAAACGCCACCCCGGCTGTCGTGAAAGGTTCCAAGGTCTGATGGGCGAGTGGCTCTTGAATGCTTTCGGCTTAATTGCTGCACACTCCTCGCTCTATTACATCCTGCAGTGGAAGTTGGCCTTAGATCTTCTTGAATCCGCCCCCGGGGGCTCATGTCATGAGGTGCTCTTGGAGGTGTGTGGCGACGCTAGACGTTCATACAATGAAAGGGCCTGGTTCTGAGGTTCTCACCGGGGTGTCCAGCAAATTCGCTGGCTTTTGGCAGTGCGTTCATTCGCCTCGAGATCTTCAAAATGCATTTCGACTCCACAGGGCTCCTGGAATCTGGCCCGAGCGGGTGCTTTGTCGAAACGGGCCGGGCAGCGCGTGGTCGGGGTCTAAAGTCGATTGGAGCGGTTTGGCGCAGTGAGTCGTGACCTTTGGACATGTGGCTTGTTTTCAGAGAACGAGGAAATCTTGCGCGAAAGCTGCGCTTTGGCATCTTGATGTTGTCTTCGGAAGAGCTCTTGCTGCGAACAGCACCTTGGCAGGGCTGAGCAATGTGAATCTTGATGTGCAGATTTTGTAAGCAGGCGCAGCACTTTGTCAACCTTGAAGTGCAGATTTCGCAGCAAGCGCCGCACTTTGTGGACAGCAGCAGGTGCAGCAGTTTGTGAACCTTGAGTCACAGATTTCGTAACCGGCACAGCCCTTTGTGAAGCTTAAAGGCAAATTTCGTTGCCGGCGCGGCACTTTGTGGAATTTGAAGTGCAGATTTCGTGGCAGGCGCAGCTTTGTGGACTTTGCGGTGCAGATTTCGTGGCTGGTGCAGCACTTTGTGCACCACCATCGCCATCACCGCCGCCATGATCACCACCACCGTCACCGCCATCAGCATCACCACCATCAACATAATAATCACCACCAACACCACCAATATCACCACCATCAGCTACTACCACCACCATCACCACCTTCATCGCCACCATGACCACCAGCATCACGGCCACCTCTCTCTGGAGCCCAATGCGTCTAGATCTCAAGACCTTGTGCTCCTACACCTCTAGACCTTAGACCGTCAGACACACTGTTTGGGGTCTTTTGCCGGGATAAGCTTTCCGTGTCTGCAAGGTCTGTTGACCGATTCGAGGGTCGACCGTCAACAGCGGGCGCCGGGCGCCACATGGTCTTACGACGCATTGAAAAACTGCGAAAGGAGTTCTGGGTGGATGTGTTGGTGAATTGTCGAAAACCTTTCCGTTGAACTGTGCCAATAACACCTGAAGGTTGTCCTGAAGACGAAACAGCATGAAACAAAATGAAAGTGAAGGACCACATGCTCAGGTGCCACAACATCATGTCCAAAGGACTTTCGGAGTTGTTACCCGATATGCAAAGCAACACTCAAGTTGAGAGCGTGTCCAGAAAAGCATGAAGCGGCAGCCACGTCATGCCACGTCCATGTGAAGCAGCACCCACTTGCAATGTGAGCCGGTGACCTTGCACTCCCAAGATCAACATGCGTAAAGACCTGGCACCTACTCGCGTGTTGTGAACGTGGCATCGCGCCGAACACTGGTGCGACGAAAGTAGGGAATGAGGCAAGTCAGGTATGTTACAGCCCCCAGGAGAGATTCCTACTCCCTACAGCCTTCCGTTCGACCACGAAATCAAAAGAAGGGTTGAAGTGGTTTGAAGGGACAAACACCCTGCAATCAATGGTATAGGGCCAAAGGGTACTGCACCAGCTCCCAATAGTGGACGTCACTGCGTCACAACCCACAAAAGCACTTCATGGCCCACAAAAACAAAAACCAACCCAGCACCTGAAGATTTTGTTGCCGGACTGCACGAACTTAATCATCACTTCTGTGAACTACGTGGATCATGAGATGCGTGGCGCTGAAGTGCTTTGCCAGCGCATAAGGCGCTTCCACACCACTTCAGTGCCTTCAGCGGGTCCGTCAAAGTAGGGGGGCTACTTCTGATTCTGGTCAGCTGGTGACAAAGCCCCGCATGCGTCACGAACTCATGGAGTCAAGCGAAGCAGCGCCGCAGGGCTGCCTCCCGAAGAAACGTCTGCCTTCCAAAGAAACGTCACCCTGCGCGTTCCAAGGTTAACCATGTTCCTTGAAGCATCCAGTCCCAGCTTGCAAGAAGATTGTCCAGTTCCTTGAAGTGAAAGATCGACCTTTAAAGCATCACAGTCAAGTGTCCGAAGCGTCGAGTGTCCGGCAAGTTGCACTGCTCGAGCAAACATCTGCAAGTTGCACCACTTCGGGCAAGTCCGCAAACAACTTTGATGCCTGCTCCCATTGCCCGCCCATTTCGCAGGCACTGATGGCAGCATTGTAACTAATCACCGTGGGCTGAACTTTCGCTTTGGGCATGGCCTCAAACAACTCCAACGCTTGCTGCCAGTGCCCGCCCTTCTCACAAGCACTGATCGCAGCATTGTAGCTGATCACGTTGGGCCGAACTTTCGCCTTTGGGATGGCCTCAAACAACCTCAATGCGTGCTGCCATTGCCCGTCCTTCTCACAGGCACTGATGGCAGCACTGTAGCTGATCACGTTCGGCAGAACTTTCTCCTTTGACATGACCTCTAATAACTCCAATGCTTGCTCCCATTGCCCACCCTTCTCACAGGCACTGATGGCAGCACTGTAGCTGATCACGTTGGGATGAACTTTCGCCTTAGGCATGGCCTTAAACAACTTCAATGCTTGCTTCCATTGCTCGCCCTTCTCACAGGCACTGATGGTAGCACTGTAGCTGATCAGGTCGGGCTGAACTTTCGTCTTGGGCATGGACAGAAACAACTTCAATGCTTGCTTCCATTGCCCGCCCTTCTCACAGGCACTGATGGCAGCATTGCAAGTGATCACGTTAGGCAGAACTTTCGTCCTGGGCATGGACTCAAACAACTTCAATGCTTTCTGCCATTGCCCTCCCTTCTCACAGGCACTGATGGCAGCATTGTAGCTGATCACTGTGGGCTGAACTTTCGCCTTAGGCATGGACTGAAACAACTTCAATGCTTGCTGCCATTGCCCGCCCTTCTCGCAGGCACTGATGGCCGCACTATAGCTGATGATGTTGGGCTGAACTTTCGCCTTGGGCATGGCCTCAAATAATCTCAATGCATGCTGCCATTGCCCGCCCTTTTCACAGGCACTGATGGCAGCATTGTAGCTGATCACTGTGGGCTGAACTTTCGCCTTAGGCATGGACTGAAACAACTTCAATGCTTGCTGCGATTGACCGCCCTTCTCGCATGCGCTGATGGCAGCATTGTAGGTGATAACATTGGGAAGAACTTTCGCTTTGGGCATGGCCTCAAACAACTTCAGTGCTTGCTGCCATTGCCCGCCCTTCTCACAGGCACTGATGGCAGCACTGTAACTAATCACCGTGGGCTGAACTTTCGCTTTGGGCATGGCCTCAAACAACTCCAACGCTTGCTGCCATTGCCCGCCCTTCTCACAAGCACTGATCGCAGCATTGTAGCTGATCGCGTTGGGCTGAACTTTCGCCTTGGGCATGGCCTCAAATAACTCCAACGCCTGCTGCCATTGCCTGCCTTTCTCACAGGCACTGATGGTAGCGCTGTGGCTGATCACGTTTGGGTGAAGCTTCGCTGTCGGCATGGACTCAAACAACTTCACTGCTTGCTGCCACAGTTTTGCTCTGGCACAGGTAGATATTCCGACTGTGTAGTTTGACACAATTAGCTCTATGCTACCATCTTCCCGTATTTTTTCTAAAGTGGCGTAGACGAGTTTCGCTGCTCCCTTTTGCTGGCACAAAGCCCTCAAGACTGGCCCAAGGAGTGCTTTTGAGCGCTGCACTTCTGGTAGCAAAATCGTTGTAAGAGAGTCTTCAAAATTTCCTTTGTCTGGTCTCGGCAAACATAAACACATGTTTTTGTACGTAGCATTGCTATGCCGTCCAACGGTCATGGCAGGGAAAGATTCCCATACAGACTCGTCATCCACTTCAACGTACAAGTAAGCACCTACGAACAAATATCAGTATCTTTCCATATTGTAATGTGGGGCAGCTACTCTGCCGATACTTTTTCTACAAGTAAGGGGCCATGTCCAAGAAAGCGCAATTCAAAGTATCCAGGCTTCTTTCAGTCTCTGCTTGGCACAGTATGTGTACCAATCCATCCGCTAGTTCAGAATCGCTTGACAGCTTGCTGCGGCTTTCGGACCTGGAGATGGATCTCAAAAACTCCGACCCTCTCTAGTGGACAGGGGTGCTTTATGTCTGGCGTACTTGGCACACACATCAGATGTTCTCTCTGTTGGTTCTCTCTGTTGGTTCCCATGTATGTATGTGCTTCTCCAGGTAGCTTCTGCCAATTAGAGAAGGATCTGTGACTCACGTGGCGCTGTCCGCTCCTTGTCTGCTGCTGTGCACAAACCCTATAGCTGCTAGGGAAAACAACTAGATGATGAATGATATATATATATATATATATCATCTTTCTCCTTCAAAAACTCCTTTCTGGAGGCTTCACAACTTTTCTATTCAATCAGGAGATGTTCGAAGTGAACACCTCAGTGAACAAATTTCCACCTCATTCCCACCTTGCTGATCTCTCTTCTCGAACTCGTCTCAAACTCTTTTGCAGTATCTGCTTGGACCGTTCTCGAAGGCGAAGCAGGCCCAGCAACGCAAGGAGGCCAGCAAAAGGTGGTCCAGGCTGCAACGAAACCGCGGATGAGTTGTTGCACTGAAGAGACCATCTTCCTCTCCTGAGGCTTTTGACTCCGAAGACGGCTTTTTGCAAAAAAAAACATCCGCGCCCGCACCGGTGCACACACTTCAGCTCCTAGAGCACTGGCTCTGGGGGGCTTTGGTTGTTTGTGGATGGGCGATGGCGGAGGAAAACTATGGAAAGTTTTGCATCAATTGATGTGGAGGTAGGGCGCTCTGGGACAGGGTATGAAGCGGCGGTCTTTGCGGTGACAAATGTTCAGCACTGTTGAAATTAATCGGTCGTATGCCTTTCGTCATGGACCTGGCAATGCAAATGATGCAAGAATCTGCACTGTTCTTCTCATCTCCAGGCTATCATGCATATTTTAGCGTATGGCAATAACATTCTATATTCTTTCACCTTCCATCCCTTTGAAATTGTGCATTTTTCAGGGGGTCTAGCTTATATCTAAGAACGCCTGCAGTTTTGTTATTCCCCATTGGCTTTTCATTCATCCACTGCATGAGGCTTGTTATCTCTAGACTCTAGGTCATAATGCATATTGCAAAAACACATGTAATCACTCTATTATTCGACCTGTTTCAAGGGGTCCAGCTTATATACAACAATGCAAATTTCTATTTCCCACAGATTTATTTCGTTCATCGGCAGCATGGTGTTTGTCATCTCTAGGCCGAAAAACGGAATATACAATATATACATGATCGATATAAGCCCTAAAGGTGAAGGATACCAAATGTACAGGCATTGTTGGATATAAGCTTAACCCCTCAAAAATGAACGCAAAATAGCGGCTTCAAACAACTTTAAATATGCATGATGACCTAGAGATGACAAGTACCATGCAGTGGATTAATGGAAAACTACTTGGGAACTAAGAAATTAGCAGGCGTTGTTGGAGATAAGTTGGACCACTGAAATATGGTCAAACATCTTACAAAAACTATGTATACAGAAAACATCATGAGTCCTGCTCATTCGGTTACACAGCGTCTGGGTCTGGGGTGTTGGCTTGGACATGAATTCTGTGTCCGCACCCTCTCTCAAAGGAAAGGATTGATAGTTTTTTCCGGAATGTTTTTTTTTTCAGATTTTTCTGTTTTTTTCACGTTTTTTCCCCTACCGTTTTTGCTTTTGCTTCTGCTGGGAGTGCTTTACAAGCACTAGGAGCAGCAGAAAGGGCAGGGGACGAAGCACCAAAGCCAGCGTGACAGTGACAAAGGGAGGGAACAGAAAAGGTATTCCACTTACTAGGGACTTCTTTGCGTTTGCTTTTAGCTTCATTGGTTTCAGGTTTCTTTGGGTTCGGTTTCTTGTCTTTAGGGTTTCTTTAGGCGTTCTTCCGGAAAAGGCATCCCACTTAACGAAGGAGAAGTAGGAGGAGAGAGGAACTATAATAGGGATTTTTCTGCGGTTGTCTTTTGGTTTCAGTGGTTTCGGGTTTCTTTGGGCTAAGCAAAGTAGAAATCCACCTTTGTGGCACCGTCAACGCAAAGAAAATAGTAGTTGTGGTAACTGTGGTAAGACTCGTAGCGGGGTGGTCCGAGTGATAGAGGTATTGGAAATAGTAGGGATGGTGGACGGTAGTGGCAACTATTGAAAAAAGGCGGGAGGGGGTGCGGGGGAGGGCGCAGCGCCTCCCACGCAATGCAAATCAAATATAGACAGAGCTGGGCTGCTTCGTTTCTTGATTGGTGTAATTGGGTGTCAAAGCTCAAGGTGAAGGTCTTATCATCCAACTTTGTGGCAGTGTCAATGCAAAGAAGATAGTCAGCAGAAGCAAAAGCAGAAGCAAAGCAAAGGCAGAAGCAAAAAGCAAAACCAAAAAGAAAAAGCAAGAAGCAAAAGCAAATGCAGAAGCAAAGGCCAAAAGCAAAAAGCAAAAGCAGAAGCAAAAGCAGAAGCAAAAAGCAAAAGCAGAAGCAAAAGCAGTAGGGGAAAAAAACGCGAAACAAATTACCGGAAATAACCTGAAAAATCCGGAAAAATAGGGGTTCCCAAAGTCGTCGCGAAGTGCCCTGAAGATGTCCAGTCCTTTAGGTGTAGGTTTCCCACGCGAAACATAGACATATATATATATATAATATAGTTATCTGAAACAAGCTAGATGTCGTCTTGATCGCACTCGGGAAAGCTCAATCGCAGAGCCCTTCATCATTAGCAAAACGTCGCACTTTGCACTCCCTGATTTGGTGGTGCCGCAAAAGAGAGAAGACAATCACTTCCTAAAGTGCTCCTTGCTTTCAACCATCCATGGCTTCCAATGGGCACACAACACATAGACTCATCATGAAACAAATCACAAATCACATCAAATCACACCCAACCGGAGACCATCATGGGACTGGAATAGTTACATACACTGTTACATCTACATTTAGACAGAATTTAGACCATTCATTTCTGACCCGTCCGTGGTGGCGTAAACTCCCAACCCGCCACAAGGATACTCTGAAAACACGCAAGTCACATCGACTCGCCCAAAACGTTTCCCCGACGGAACATGAGGTTCGGTCAAACCCGTTTTCCACTTCGAAAAAGAATCAGTGAGGAATCCTTCAGATCACCCCCCCCAAGTCACGTAGCCCGATTCGGTGAGAATCGCATCTACCCAGGTCTCCTCCAAGGCTTCAAGTCGTCGTGACGGCGCCGGCTCGGAAGTCGGCCGCTTCGGCGGTGCGGCTCCGTGGTGTAGGGATCCATGGCAGAGCCGCGGTGCTGCGCTGGGCCAACGAAAGGAGCACTGAGCAGTTCAGGTGAAGGGATGGTGTACTTGGACACCAAAACACTCCGCTCCAGCCATCAGCATCCCCATCTGCGCCCCTTCTGTTTGAGGTTTGCAAAGCAACACTCAAGTTGAGAACATGTCAACGAAGCAAGGACATGTGGGCTGGGGTCCTGAAAAGGGCTGAAGGACGCTTTGCTTGGGAAGTTCTGCCGAAGTGATGACGTGAAGAAGTTACACCTTGAACACACAACAGCCTGGCCATCAACATCTACCTCTTTCGAAGCGTCGCGCGACCAAGTGAAGGTTCCAAGGTTTGATGGGCGAGTGGTGAGTCGCTTTTGAATGCTTTCGGTTTATTTGCCGCCTTGCTGGAGAAGATGGCACATTCCTCACCCCACAAACCCTGCAGTGGGATTTGGCGCTTGGATCGTCTTGAATCCGCTTCATGTCAGGTGGCTCTTGGAAGAGTGCGCGCGTTCGGGGTTCTTACGGTAGTGCATGGTTAAGGACGGGTGTCCGATCAAGGTGCTCATCGGCGCGGTTGGCTAATTCGCTCCTATATACAGTACATTATCCCCCTTGTGCAGCTCTCTGGGCTGAAGTGTCTCTGTTTTACGGATTTCTGTTTATTAATTTATGACATGGACAACCGCACGGTCAGATTCATAAAATGAGGGATGGTCTTTATTAAAAAAACTAGACGACGAGTGGCCCGAAAGCATTTTTCATCACGTAGGAAGTCAGAGTGTGAGTTATCTGTTAAGTGTTCAGTGTGAAGAGTTAAATCGAGTGAGTTGAGGTAGTGTCTGGGTCTCTGTGTGTGTATCTATGTCTGTGTGTGTATGAGTCTCTGTTTGTGTGTGTGTCCGAGAAAG